ATATTTAAGGGAAATTTTGGAAAAATAAGTACATAAAAGAATTTATTTTGAAAACTGTACCGTTTTATATTTTTCTGGAAAACTACACTTATTCACAAATGAAATTACCAAATTATCCAATTTAAATGTATATAAATATCTATATTATTTTTTTGATAAAAGCATAAATCAGATTAGAATCAAATGCGTTTGAAAAAAAACATATTTAAAAAAAAATCAACAACAATCAATAGCAAATTCTCAGTATTCTTGTTCTTCAGATTTAAAGAATGATAAAACCAACAGCCATTTGTTCTGATTGAAAGGTCTTTTATTTTTATTTTGATGTAGGCTTGATACGCATGAAACATAACCCAGACAGTAAGTATAACAAGCAAATGGTGCAACGATGTATCTTTTCTCTTTTTTACTACAATTTATTCCTTAGAATATTTTTCTTCTTTGATTAGGACACAATGGTTCTACGGAAGAGATGATATCTAACGAACTTTGTGAATCTGGAGCATGGAAGAACTCTTGCAGTTTCAAATAACTTTTTAAAAAACTGTGTACATATAAATCCATCGTCCTTGTATGTGTGAAGGCAGTGAAGCCCAGGAATCAACAACACAAACGTGTTTTTATCTCAAAACGTTTATCACAAACACAGATAATAATTATACAAAAATATTTAGATGATTCAGGCAATTTGTTCTTGTATGTGTGAAGATACCAAAAATCAACAAATACGACTGTGTTTAATCTCACACGGTTATCACAAACACAGATTATTTATAAGTCTAATTTTAATTATAAACATTTTGTATTAATTAGTATCATAATTTTAATTACTAAATAAATCTAGGATAAAAGTGTCATATTACATGTAATAAAGTGTAATTTTCAAAAAGGTAAAAAAGAAGTGTATTTCTAAAATTTCAAATCACAAATAGTGTATTTTTCAAATTATCCCAATATTTAATCTATCACTTAATAAAATTTAAATAAAAAACGTCCACTATTTAGCAAAGTAACCACTTGAACCAATCCGTTTAGGATGATGTTAACAACTAACGATAAGTTGTTCCTATTATTATGGCTTTAATATTTTGTTCTTTTTATGGCTCAAATTTACCTTCATCTCAACAATTAAAGCATTTTTTTGTAGAGATATCGTGATTCTTATTTTGGTTTCTTATTCTCTCTTAGTTTCTTAGCCATTTCAAAATTTAGACTTACAAGAACATAAGAACATGTGAGAGTCTCTAGCGGTTTAGAGTGGGAACATCAACGTAAAAAAGTTGGTATGTAGTTAAGAACAATTTTCAGTAACGAATCAATATAATTTATAGGAAACATGATGATGGGTTTTGTTTTTTTTTATACATGATTTGAGAGAACACCACGATCAACTAATCAGAATCGGATACAACATTACAGAAAAGGTATTATTTTCTTCTTCTTTTTTCTCATCTTCTCGTTTTATTTGTTAAAACTACTAAATTTAGGATCTTGTGAATGTGGCAAGATGATTTTTATTTGTTAGTATCAGGAACATTCTATAGATATAAGAGTAGAGATGTCAAGTAGCTAGCAATCTGGAAGAGGAATAGAAGTCAAACAGAGGCGGCAGAAGATTTATGATGAACAAAAATAAAGAGAAGAAGAAAAATCTCAACGAAATCTCTCTCTAAATTCATCTCTTTTCTTTTCTTGTTTTCAGATTTTTCTGTATTTAATTCATTCTGTCATATTGTATATATATGGAAAATAATAAAATACTTTTTCAATTTTATTTACATAAATTTAACTACTAATATTATTTAACATAATTATGTAGAAACGGTAGTTAAATTAATAATTATAAATAAATAAAAATATTTTAGAAAATTATATTAATTTAACATCAATTAATAATAAATAATTATATAATTAAAATCAATCATGTTAATCGATGTCAATATTTAGATCATTTGAAAAACTGATGTACTATTACTATCAGTTTTACAATTGATACCTATTAACATCATTTAGAATAAGTGATGAAAATATTTGATATTCTTACATCAGTTTTGAACAAAATGATACAAAATATTTGCATCACCAAAAAGTAAGTCATTTATTTAAGTGATGTAAAATATTTTTACATCATGTATAAGTGATACAAACATACAAAATAAATGATTTAAACTAAGCTTTTTTTTTGTAGTGAAAATGTAAGTTAAAAGTTTATAATGATTTATTCTGAATTTAGTTTAGAAAATATTTTATTAATTTTTGAAAAGACATAAGAGACATAGAATTAAGAGTAATTATTAATTCACTAATTTTGGAAAAAATAAAAATTGCTTTTAAATGTAGGTTCATTTAATTACTTAAATGATATTGAATTGTAAATAAGTTGTAAGTTTAAAGGATAATTTTTATTGGTACTTCTATTTTAATAATATAGATGCAAAATCCTAAGTGGTGGTGGCGGCAGATCGTAGTCATTAACAATCAAACTAATTCTTTTTTAATATAAATTAGATTTTGACCAGAGCTGTGCCTGGTGAAGAAATTTTGAAGCCTTCGCTTATGTCAAATAATTTTAGAGAAAAATTTTAGGGCATCCAATTAAAAATGTTCTTTGATAGCTTTTCAACTACTATAATATCCCTTGTAATATTTTGTATCTATCTTCATCTTTTTTTATCAGAATAAATATTATTTTCATGTATTCTTATTAATTATTTTATTTGTTTCTTAGTGCTTACTTTATAAATCTAATATACAAATATGTATATAGAAGACTTTTGTAAGTTTCATACTTGCATTCTTAAACTAAACAAAAATATAATAAAAGGGGTTTCTTTTCGGGTGAATTGGCAAGTAACAAATTAGGCAAATGCCTAGGACACAAAAATTGTGGGGGCTTCTAAATGATCCAACAAAGAGAAAATGTCAAAATTGACCTTATGTCTATAAAAAAGAGATCACGACAAAATCGGTGATAATAGGTTAGAAGTTCGAATAAAAATAATAATTAGGGGAAAAGCGTAGTAATCTCTCTCTCAACTATCTTTCAGAGGAGGGAGTTGCGTTCTTTCCCATGACTGATCAATCCGGTGAGGTTTTCACCATGTATCTGGTTTGTTTCCGGCAAGGGGTTGCTCTCATAGAACCATCTTAGCCGGCTTTTGTCTCCCGCGTGTCGGGCTTCTCTTCTGGTGAACAATGGTTTCCTTAATATCATTTCTGCTGGTGTTTTACGAATCATTGGACTTCCAATGATTTTGTCTAGTTTATTTTCTCGGATCTTGTCTGTTTTTTTTTTTACTTTTTTTTTAGTTACTCTGAATCAACCGCGCTTCTCTTTTAGAAAGGTTTCAATTGGATTAAAATCTTAGATCAATTTGTTTCAGCCTGCCCTCTCTGTTAGAATTCAATCATTTTAAAGCTTCTTTATATTTTAAAAGATGATTTGATTTGCATGCAAGGATTTGAGACTTTCGTTTGCTTTTATTTGTTTCTTTTTTTCTGATGTGGGTTTATGTTAGCAAGTAAAAATCTAAGTTAACCGGATTTAAAAAGTAATGAACTGCTAAAGATTTTTATATATTGATGTCGAAGATTTTTAGCATGTATATCAGAGAGCTAAAAAAGTTATTGACAAATTAAAGAAAACTTTGCACTGATCCAAAACAGAAAGTGTGTTAAAATAATAAATCAGTTAGCAAATATTGGTGTCGTAGATGGTGGCTAATAGTTTATTTATAATACATGACTGTTTTCCAGAGATGGTGGCTGCTGAGGGATTGGAATTAGCATCAACGGATGCATTAGGAATTAGCTTCAAAGTGAAGGGAGTGGAATTAGCATATGATGAGGTTAGCTATTTTCTGCAAAGTGAAGGGAGTTGGGACTAGCAAGGCTGGTCAGTGGGCAACGGAGACTTCCTCTGAAGGAATTAGTACAGACGGTGGGTATTGAATATTTGTGACGGTTTGGGGCGTGGGTAGTTAATGAATGGTTTGTGTGTTTTTTTTCAAGTGCTTCAGTTTGAATGTTGTGCAAGTCGGTTAGGGGGAAGTTAAGCACCTGATTTTGTGGTCTTTTTGTTGGCTAAACTCTATCTGCTAAACTCTATCTTAGCTTGTCAAGATGCAGTAACGGCAAGAATTTTCCAAATGTTGTACGGATATGAAGTATTTTAAGGTTGTATGTCCATGTTATAATAAAAATTGTCTCCTTTACTTTGTCGTGTAAATTTAATTTCTAGATTGCTAAATGTATTTTTATCAGTGTAGACGAGGGAAAAAATAACGAAAGCGGAGTATGTATTTATATGTAGTCTAATATAAGTAGGATGATTTTAAGTTAATGAAACAAGAATGTTGTTGGCAGGCTAAAAGATACTGCCCAAGTATTAATATATTGATAGCATTTTAAATTGTGACAATGGTTTTTAGAATTATTCTTAGCCGGTTAAAACAATGTCGAGTCGGTTAAAACAATGTCGAAGCGTATGAAACAAGAATATTGTTGGGAGGCTAAAACCAAGTGTTAACATAATTATAGCATTTTAAATTGTGACAGTAGTTTTTAAAATTATTCTTAGCCGGTTAAAACAATGTCGAGGCATACAAACAATTTATTGGCGACGTATATGTCGTTAATTATAAGTATGTTATGGAACCTCCAATTTAAATTGTGACAATTGCTTGTGATTTTACTTTACTCGTTTGTTTGCTTGGTGCTATAATAGCCGATTGTGTGTGTGTAGAAAGGAGATTAGCGAATATGAAGCACAAGCATACAGTCTCTAATTAATGAGCTTGCACATAAACAAAAGATTAAAGACATAGATATGGAAACACAAACAAGAGACTAACACATAGTCATCCAACTGAGCTGGTCATACAAGGTGTCAACCCAACATAACTTAAAGGTTAAAACTTACAACTCAACGACATCACCAAGTAAACAACAAAAGACTGGCAAGATAGCCCAGCAAGCATTCCTGTCCCTCGCCAAATCAATCATAATAGTGCTATGTTCGAGCTTCTCCAGACCAACAATATCAGATTAACCTCCAATAGCTCCACTTTTAAATCACTAACCATACTTTTTAAATTCTCAACCTCTTCAACCAAATGTTCGTCAGTCCAAGTGAACAAATAAATTTTATCCTGTGGTGTATAAGCTAAAAATCTAAAGATCCGCACCAATTTAATCATTAACTATTTACATAAAAATTGAAAAAAAAACTTTACCCCCTCAGAGCCATTGGGACAACAGTAGAAGATCCACCCTGTGTTTTTGGCAGCCAAAGTCTTAATAACAGCCTCCTCTCGACATCGACAGAATTTCGGAATGTTATTGTCAACAGGACATCATCTGCCGGAAATGGAACTGACCCCTTTTGTCCAGCACTGTTGTTAACATTGTCCTGGGCAAGAAATTAAAAATTAGTACACAACCTGCTAGGATCACCAAGTAACACTGCAAGTAATAGAAACCAATGAAAAAATCAACTGAAAAAGTATTGAAAACGGCAACACACCAAGGAAGAAGATTCGCTGGTTGTCATGCCGATCTTCAAAGAGGCTCGTAAAGATAAGAATAGCCACCAACACCTATCCAATTATACAATGTGGTTGTTAAGTAAACCTCAACAGATGAAATAACCCACAACAAAGTTGAGATCTTTCAATACAATTAGATATCACAGCTTCGTTACCAAAGTGCCTCACACATCACATATAGTACACATACTAAAGCAAACGTTCCTCCATCTCAAGGACTAATCAAAAGTTATGGTTAAAAAAGGTCATTTTTTCGAATTGGGTAGTCTCTTAAAGAGAGTGAGAGAGAGAGAGAGAGAGAGAGAGAGAGAGAGAGAGAGAGAGAGAGAGAGAGAGAGAGAGAGGGATATGGATACCTGCCCTACCCTGGTGCCGGTGGTGGCGGCTTTCTTGAGACCTTTCTCGACGATGAAGCTAGCTCCGATGAATAAACTAGAAGAGATTGCCAACACCAAACCCTTGATGTTATCATATGACATTCCTCTAAAAGAATCCCGCCATCCTCCTCCTCCACCTCCTGATCCCGCCATTCTTCTCAGATTTCGAATCCCAAAGATCGAATATTTTCTCTGAAACTTCAAATACCCTAAATTGGTCAGATCGGATCGAAGCTCGAAGATTGGGGCTCAGGTAACCCAAAAGCTCTAGGTTGCTTCGTAGATTTATGTTAGAGCATCTCAAAAAGACCTTCTCCAAAAGTAAAACTTCAAAACTAACTTTAAAACTATTTGTATTTTATTCTATGGTCCTTATATTTTTCATAATTAATATAAATTCATTTTTTTGTAAATAACTAGCACATATATGAAAAAACATAACAATAATATTAATTAAAAAATATTTACTCTAAAATATAAAACTGTAAATAGAAACACATAACTACATAATAAACTACAAACAAAATATCTATCACATTATTTCATAACATTATTTCCATAATGCTCCATCTTCAGTTACACAATACTTATTTGGATAATATTTTGCAGATTTTGAAGGTTTCAGAGAAAATTTACCATACTATTAATATTGTTGTAATATTTAAATTTATGTAATAACTATGCTTTTTATGTACCTTTTTAAAAAGTTTTTTTTTAAGTTTCTTTTGTAATATTTCTAAAGTCTAATTTTAGGTTTAAAATAATATAAATTGTATTTAAAAGTTTTATGTATAAAACTTAAGTCTATAAAAACAAATCTGAAATATTTATAAAATATAAAAATTTGAAGGATTAAAATGTTAAACGATAAAATATTGAAAAATCATAAATATGATATATAATTAATTGTAAGGACCAAAATGAAAATAAAAAGATGAAACTTCCAATTTGAAGTTTCTTTTTGGAGAGCCAAAAAACTCTATATTTGGTGTTATAGAGTGTCTTTTGGAGATGCTCTTAGAGGACTCAATTTGGAAAAAAACTAAATTACTAATCTTCTTTCGGCTGGCACATAATATTAGGTTATCATAAATAAAATACTAAAAGAAAAAAAATGATTACAGCAATAACAGGTAGCCGGTTGCTGATAGTCCGATGTGAGCAGAGTTAAAACGGTAATCCACTTCCCTTCTGACTGCATCGAAAAGGTAAATAGTGCATTAACCTTATTATTGTATAAATATTGTGTGTGAAATGAAAATTCTCTTTCTTTTCTTTCAAAAAATATCTAAAAAGGATTCTTATTTCAAAAAATATATTAATTAAGCAAAATATTTTTTTTTTGGTTTAGGGCATCAAAGATGCTTGTCACGGCTCTGATTTTGACCCGCCCTTCAAAGGTTGGGTAAATTTTGTTTTAATTTTTTTGAGAAATTTAATGTTTTAATTTTTGTTTTCTTTTTATAATTATATTTATATTTAATCATTTATAGATACTATTAAAAAGTTAGTGTTGCTGAATAAAAAATAATTAAATAATAAATAGTTGGACCAAATTTATATCAATTAGTCATGATCATGTTTTTATAGATACAGTTAATAAGTAGACTAATACAATTCTAAAGATATTGTTTATTAGTATAGTTTATGATAGTTATAATTTGCTTTCCAATAAAAGGTTAAAATCAAAATAGTTTCTTCTCTTAAAATAACATTGTATTGGCCTTAACATGGTATTGGCCTTAACACGGGAAACATAATTATTGATCACATTTTCTTATATACCATGCAACTGTCTATCTTAATTTGTAACAAATTAATGAGAGTAGTTGTAAATTAAAAAGATGAGAGTGATGGGTCCCAAAAATCTTGGAATAAGGAGATGTTATAACATATATCAATACTTGTAATAGGTAAGAATATGTAGAAATAGTTAGTTTATTCAAAGATAGTTCAGTGGCACAAAAGTAATATTCCAGAGTATACTGAGGGTAAATAATAGCAATTTCTTGTTTTAATAATATTGATCTCAAACCGTAAGAACAACATCTTTGATTGGTTTCAAATGGAGATGTAGATCGAACTAATGATGCAATTAGGCCCGGGCAAAAACACCGGAACCAAAAATCTTGTAAGTCAAAAAGATGAGAGTGATGGGTCCCAAAAATCTTGGAATAAGGAGATGTTATAACATATATCAATACTTGTAATAGATAAGAATATGTAGAAATAGTTAGTTTATTTAAAAGTAGTTCAGTGGCACAAGAGTAATATTCCAGAGTATACTGAGGGTAAATAATAGCAATTTCTTGTTTTAATAATATTGATCTCAAACCGTAAGAACAACATCTTTGATTGGTTTCAAATGGAGATGTAAATCGAACTAATGATGCAATTAGGCCCGGACAAAAACACCGGAGCCAAAAATCTTGTAAGTTAAAAAGATGAGAGTGATGGGTCCCAAAAATCTTGGAATAAGGAGATGTTATAACATATATCAATACTTGTAATAGGTAAGAATATGTAGAAATAGTTAGTTTATTTAAAGGTTAGTTCAGTGGCACAAAAGATATATTCCAGAGTATACTGAGGGTAAATAATAGCAATTTATTGTTTTAATAATATTGATCTCAAACCGTAAGAACAACATCTTTGATTGGTTTCAAATGAAGATGTAGATCGAACTAATGATGCAATTAGGCCCGTGCAAAAAAAACCGGAACCGAAGAACCAAACCAGAACCGGACCGAAATATCTGAAACCGGAACCGAACCAAAACCCTTAAATATCCGAACGGTTATTATATTTATATATCCGAAATAATCGAACCGAACCGAGAACCGATAGGTTACCCGAATATATAATAATAATCATATTAATTTTATATACGTATAACATAACCAAATATATGATTTTAATTTAAAAATCTATTAGAAGTATCCAAAAATAGTTAAAATTAACTAAATAATTATAAATTATCCGAACTACCTGAAAGTATACGGATAATTTTATCCAAACATCCAAAGTAATCCGAAATATCTGAAATTTGTATCTAAATCGTTCTAATTATTTGATATTTTATTCTAAATAACTGATAGTTTACCCAGATTACCCGAACCCGAACCGAAACTAAATGAGAACCGAATTTTTTAGGTATTTTATGATTCCTAGTTTTACTATCCGAACCGAACCGAACCAAAAATAGGTCAAGTAATAAATGGATCCTCTAACCCCCTACCCGAACTACCCTAAACCAAAAATACCCAAACCGAACCGAATCGATATCCGAAACTCCCAGGCTTAGATATAATCAAACCGATAAAATGCAGATCAAAATAAGAATATAAATCAAATGCAAATTAACATGAGTATATGTTTTATTAATCTTTTAAATACATGACCATACATTGACTCAACATGGTAATTGAGTCAATGTTCGGATCGGTTCAACCGGTCAACCGAGATTTTTATTTTACTAAAATTATTAAAATTATAAATTTATAATTATATTATTAATTTATACACTTTCACCAATATTATAAGTGTATAATATTATAATTAGGTAACTATCTTAGACTAATGTGATTTTTATACCAAATTAAATTTGTGTTTCTTTAATGTTTGAATCAATTGATTTTGAAATTGAACCAATTCATCGGTTTATAAGAGTCTTACCGATTTTAAATCGGTATGGCCATTTAATTCTAATCCGATTTTAGAGAAACTCGGAACCCCCAAGATAGAGGAGTCATGGTTCGACCGGTCGTACAGTTTTCAAAACAGTTGTAGATTTTAATTATCAAAAAAACTTACAATATAATTATATTTTATAAATATTAGAAAAAATAATAATTGAAAATAAATATTTAAACCAAAAATACAAATTCTTATGTATAAATAATGAAATATAAATTACCAAATGACATAGATATCTGTAGTTATTGTAAACATAATATATAAAAATTATGTATATTTTAAGTATATATAGAGTTTTATGTAAATGTTTGAAAAAATTATTTATATTTTATAAAATAATTTCATTTTAGAATAAAGTATTTCGTAAACTATATTAAATTTATTTTTAAAGATTTAATAATTAAAAAAAGAAATAACATGGATTAATAAAGTAGACTCTCTATTAATAATTAGTAGCCAAATTAATTTAATTTATATTATTGGTCATCTGCAAATGTCCATCTCCTTTTCGTTCTTTATTTGCAGATCAAAAATTCAGATTCTAATGATGATGCATATCAAATAGATAATGATAATTAAATAGAACAAATGCAAGTCAAGCAGCTGATGTAGAATAAATACAGATCTAACTGATTAAACTAATTTATCAAACTACCATTTTTGACCGAACGTTGAAAAGATAACTATGCAAGTTCAACAATTTTTTTATATATATATATATAATCAACAAACATTATTATTTTATTAATACAGTGAAAACTTAAATAGTTATAAAAGTTAAATATAATTACAACATACAACAGAACTGAAAAGCTAATATATTAGTATTTTTATTTTCCACAATTTATTTGCAATAATTTCTCTGATGTTTGTCATAAGATATTTTTTTTTCTAATTTCCACTTTTCCCTATTATTTTGTTCAGCCATAAAACAATTTTGTTAAATTTTCATTCCATCAATAAAATCTTCACCTCAAAAATTGAAAATTCAAATAAAGTTTTATAATTCTTTTGTCGATGTTAACACTCTTTTTTTTTAACATGTATATATAACAACTAGGAAACTTACAAACAAACTTTTCTTCTTCGAAACTCAAAATGTCTTATTTTTAACATATTAAACTTTTAATAATTCATTGAACTTGAAGAAACAAATTAAAATGTACTTCTTTGTCATCATGTACTGTTGTTTTGAACTATTTTTTATAGATGTTGATATATGAGACAATCCGAAATAGAAAAAAAAACAGTAAGACACAAGATAAAAATACATGAACGTGTTATAACTTATATTTATGAATGAATAAAAGATTATATTTGATATTTCATTGTCTAAACATATAAAGTGATGATAAAAATAACTATTTAAATTTTCTAATATAAGTAATTAATGCATGAATTTATTTAACTGATTTCTATAAAACATTATAAGATGAAATTTAAATGTTTAACTGTTA